CTCCCGCAAGCTGGCCTCTGTCCCACACACACACACACACACACACACACACACACACACACACACACACACACATCCCATGAATACAAAGTAAAAATTTTTAATGTAAAAGAAGTTTTTTGTTTTTTTTTTTTCAATTCTTAAAATGTCTGACTTAGGTACACTGTAAAACATCTTGGTTATATTTACTTTACAGAGTCTAAAATATGTTGAATATTTACAGATGTATGTACTAGCATTTACAGTTACCTATATATTTGAAAAGCTGCATCAGCCAACTACTGCTTATCTATCAATTATGCTGATGGCAAGAGAAAGATCTGAATGTGTTTGGAGTGTAAAACCTACTCTGAACCCACTATAGATTCCTAACACTCTCCTCTCCTCCCATCCTCATAAGCAATGAGCAGTCAAACTGCAAAAAGCCTTCTGTCCACTCCAGAAGCATGTCAGGGAAGCCTTCTGTCTATAGAAGCACAAACACAGTATTTGATGGGAGATACTTATTTATTTTTTTGAAAATTATAAAACATTTCTTAAAACCATGCCCAAGAAAAAAAATACTGAATTCCAGTATCTAAGTAAAGAGTGAAATCATGAAAACAGCTTAATGTGTGCTTTTCTGACTTTTCTTGGTACAAGGAGAGTTTTGCAAGTGAGGTATTCTGAAAGCCAAACAGCTAGAATTGGGAGAAGAGGTGCTGCTGTAGCTGACAGGAGGGGGCCTAAAGTCATGCTCACATATAGTGCCCTCCAATTCTATACCCAAAAGCTTTCTCTAAGTTCCCAATTTTCCTCAGAAAACCATTGTTCTAGAGCAAGGATCTTACACAAGACAAATATGTCATACATTACCCAGCTTCGGACATGAAAGCTGCAAACAGATAAAATGCAAGCAAAGAAAGCCTGGACATAGCTCGTATTTGGAAGAACAGCCCAGTGCTAGAGAACATCCTGGAAGCTGGTTCTAAGCAGTAAATACAGTGGATAACATGTTAGAAATGATCCATAGTGCACTACTATTCAATATCCTCCAATATCTGTGAAACCAGATTCTCTCCGCATGCCTCTGCAATGCAGTGGCACCAGTTTCCATGTATGGAATCATCCCAAGTTTGTCACTTTCACTCCAAGCATAACATGCTGATCCTTTTCTGTGTTTAACACAGCTTAGATCTCATCCTGGGTTGTCATCCAAATACCACTTCTTTACTTCAGTTGAAACCCAACCAGCATGATCTAAGATTTACTGTCAACTACTCTCTCATTTATAATACTTGCATAGTGTCTCCTCCTCATCAGGGCAGAATTTAACTCTCAAGTCTATATATGACATATTTTAGGATTTGATCAATCTGAAAAGACCTCAGTGAGCTCCCTAGGACCCCCAAAACAAATCCAACCCCTTTAAAAAAACATATAATGATACCCCCCCCCACAAAGAACTCTACTGTATTTAAATGATGCTAGAGGATAAACAACCTCAGCCGGGTGAGGTTATCTGACACTTTCATAAATGTTAACATTTCTGCAAAAGAGAATTTGCAAGAAGAAAATAATGAGGACTTTCATTTGGGCTAATATATTAAGCCATTCATTCTGCAGTGTTTGCTGAATGCCTACCACGTGCTGTGATGCCTTACAGCACTTCATCAGCAGAACAGTATATAGTATCAGGAAAATAACAAAAGTAATGCAGATGCATCCTGGATTCCAGAAAAACATAAGCAATTTTTAAAAGGCATTAAGCACTAAGTTAAATGGCAATAAAGGTTAAAAAAAAAAAAAAAAAAAAACCTGACAATATCCATGTGGTGTGTCCAGACAAAGTGTGGGAAGGGCAGTTTCAGTTAATGCCACACTGTGTGAGAGAGCAGATTTGGCCCATGCTCAGGTACAGAACATTATAACTGCATCACAGAAGCATGGCTCATTCACCTCTGTATTACTTCCTGAACTCTACAGCAAATAATAAATAATGAAAGAAAAGCTGCTTGCCTAGACAAAAAGGTTTCTGACAGAGAAGTATAGAATCCAGAACATGAAGAAAGCAAGCACTTTCTTCCACAGAAACCATAACAGGAAGGAATTCCACTTGGGCATCAGCATCAAACAATGAGTATAATGAAATGAAAAGAAATATACACCTAACATTGTTTTATCTGCCAGTGCCAGAACATTCTACCTGACCCCGAAAATGTGATCTAAAATGAACATGTCTGGACTGGAGAGAGATGGCTCAGTGGTTAAGAGCACTGGCTGCTCTGGCAGAGGACGGAGGTTCAATTCCAGGCACCCACATGGTGGGTAACAACCACCTGCAATTCCCATTCCAGGGGAATCTGACACCTTCTGACCTCCACGGGCATTACATGACACAGGTGCACTATACACATGCAAGCAATATACTCATACACATAAAATAAAAACTACAAATATTTAAAATGCACATTTCAATGAAAGGATACAATTCTAATTCCATGTCTGACACATAACAGGAGGGTAGATCTGATAATTTTATCATCTGCACAAATTCTAAAGCAGGGCCATAATAATGGAAAACCTAGAAAAGAAATTCAAAGTTTTAAATATTTTAAATCCTGTAATGAAATGAAAGCAAACAAATTCTGATTATTAGCTTAAAACTTTAATGATTCTTGGTGCTGGAGGTATGTTAAGAACACTGACTGTTCTGGCAGAAGACCCAGATTCGAATCCCAGCACCCACATGGTGGCTAATGACAGTGCGTAACTTCAGTTCCAGGGGATACCACACCCTCTTCTGTCCTCAACAGGCACTGCATGACCTGGTGTGCACTTAAAAATGCAAGTATAACACTCATTCAGATAAATTTTTAAAAATTAAATGTGGGGGCTGGAGAGATGGCTTAGCAGTTAAGAACACTGGTTGTTCTTGCAGAAGACCCAGGTTCAAATCCCAGTACCCAAATGGCAACTAACAACTGTCCATAACTCCAGTCCCAGGTGATCCAACAGCGTCTTCTGACCTCCCCAGGCATTGCATAACATAGGTGCACGTACCTACGTGAAGGCAATACACATATACACATAAAATTAATAAAGTTTTTAAAAAATTAAATGCAAAAAGGAAAGAATATATACTGAAGAGACAATAGTTTTCATTTTGGAAAACAGCAAAAGACACAAACACACCCCATATATCTTTATTTTAATTAATTTAAATTTAATTTACTAAAGAAATTGAACCTGAAGATTACTTTCAATAGAAGCAAAAAACAAAATTAAGGCAGATTACTGTAAATGAATGTTACGCTACCAAAGAAAAGAAGTTCAGGTCATCAAATTGTATGAATCTAAGGTTTAGAAAAGAACTGAAAATTCCTGTGAAAGATAGATATATAAGTTGCTTAAAGTAACCAATTCTAAACAATATTGGAAAATGAGCTAATGTGAGAAATGACATCTTTTTTTCTACTGCCCTTTAATCAAAAAATATTAACCATCAATTTGACATCCTGTAATTTTATGACCACTATGTTTTTATACATTCTTAAACTGAGTATTTTAAAGTGGATTTATAGGGGGCTAAGAGATGGCACAATGGGTAAGAACACCAGCTGCTTGTGCAGAGGACCTGGGTTTGATTCCCAGCACCCACATGGAGACTACAACTGTCTGTAATTCCAGTTCCAGGGGAATCCAATGCCCTCTTCTGACTCCAAGGGCACTGCATGACACAGGTGCATTTACACACATGTAGGCAATACACTCATACACATAAGATAAAAATAAAAAATAAAATAATATTTACACATAAAGTACCTCTTATGTTATTTTTTTAATGTTTAAGAAAAAAATCCAGCTGCAGTCTTCTCCAATTATTATGTTTTATAGTTACTTCCACTTAAAAAAAATAACTTTATAGAAGATATGAGATGAGAATTAGCATGTCTTTTTTTGTTGTTGTTGTTGATTGTTTTTGACAGGGTCTCCCTAGGCACAGCCCACCTGGAAGTCAGAATGTGAACCAAGGGGGCCTCATTGTTTTCACAGAGATCCACCTGCTCTGCCTCCTGACAGCTGGGATTAAAGGTGCAGGCCACTATGCCTGGGGTGAAAATTAGCATGTCTTTTTTTTGGAGTCAGGATCTCCCTGTAGCCCCAGCCATGTCCTGGAACTCAATATGTAGACCAGGCTGGCCTCAAACTCTCAGAGATCTGCCTGCCTCTGCCTCCCAAGTGCTGGGATTAAAAGCATGCGCCACCATACCTGACTTAGAATTAGCATGTTTTAAACCACAAAATAATTACTCTTATGTCACGCTTTGGATGTCGGATGCTAATCTCTTATCCTCATTTAATTTTCATATTAACTTTGTAAAGTAAGTATGCTATTATTCCACTCATTTTACAAATGAGTTAGTTATCAATCTATCCGAGGGTGTATCCAATATCTAACAGGTGACAGGGTCAAGTTTCAAATCCAGGCCCAATCTAACTTCAACCTTCCATCAAACTTTTACTATCTAGTGTTTTATCATAGTAAGTCTTAAAAGGGTCCCATAGTAAAGTCCCAAGACAAAAGCTGTTTCTGGCCTGTGGTGACTTAAAAGCATTTTTACTGTATTAATTCACCAGCATTTAGTGCTTATCCCATCATATAATTCAAGCACTCAACTGTAAATTGTAAGAATTATGCAGGTAAACTCGGTAGTAATTGAAGATTCAAACATATTTTATAGGAATAAAAATAGGCACATAATGAAGGGATGGGGAAAACATGCATAAATTGATGATAACAAGAAAAATTAAATGTACAGTTACCTTCGGCAAAATATTCTTATCCTTTGATGTCGTTATCTTTTTGGCAAGAAAGCAAGTACTTAAATTAGATGAACTAACATTTGTAGGGGTAAGTCCTTTTAAACAAAATTCGGGAAAACTAATTTCAAATCCAAACTGAAAAGAAACCAAGAAAGCTCAGTTACGGGTGTCATAAAGAGAAATATATTTTATTACAATGTAAATGAGAAGCCAGCCACATTTAATATAAATATAAAATATATAAATATGAATTTATTTTGGATTTTTCGGCTCAAAGGACAGTTCTTCCACTTAGGTACAAACCACCATATTTTAACTTAGACATTAATTTTTCATAAAAAGCTCCCATTGACCCTCAGTCAGCAACAGTATGCTAACTCTGCTTCACACAGTCACAGGTTAAAACAACCTCCTTTGTACATACTTGTTCAGTATTTGGCTTCCTACCAGTCTGCACGGCATGCACAGACAGACCCTGTCTGCACTCTTCACTTCCAGACACTCAGTACAGTGCCTCACACATAGCTCGCCTTCAGTGTTTGTTTGTGATGAGAAAGTCAATTACCACAGAAGTCATGACAGTGGTACTCTTAACAGTAAAGGTGGTAACAATAATAATGAAGGGCAGAACACTATGTGGTTACTACTATAGGACCCAAAACATAATGACTACACAAATTAAAACTAACTAAAGTCAAATAAAATTAAAAATTCAGTTCATCATCTGAACAAGTCACACACAGTTCTTAGTAGGAGTTGGTGGTTAGTGAGCCATTGTACTCACAGATACAGACCACTTCTATTATTGGAGAAAAAAATCTACTGAATAGTGGTCTTGAACATCTTCTTAGGGTAATTTACATTCTTTTCAAGTATGTTGTAAATGAAGTTCAAAGGCCAGCTTTGTATACTGTGATAATTACCTTTCTTTCCCATATCTGGATCTTTCCCCTCCATAATTCCTTTGAGTCAATAGCATTTCTCAGCTCCTCTAAAGATACAACATTAGCAGAGAGATATTCGGCAATTTTCTGACAATTTCTGTTTAAAAATATTTTGATAATTAAATAATTATATTTTACCTGTTTTCAATGGTTACATTTTAACTAGACTAAAAGGTAAAAACTGCAATTTTCTATTAATACTATGAATTATCCATTAAGTCAGTTTCACAGAAAGGTCTGTCACATATTGATTTAATGCCACATTCCCACAAATTAAGAGTCATTAGCCTTATACTGAGGATATAGACAGAGCTTCCTCTTACTGTTGGCTTAACTGTGTCAGAGGCACTCACAGACCCACAGACTCAATTTCAGTTCCTTACCTTCAGGAACAGAACCCTGTCCTATAGGTTTCTTTATGGCTTTTATGGAAATCTATGGTAGCATTTAATCATAAAGTATCTTGACTGTTAGCATTCACGTCTTGCCTTGTACTTTCTTGCAGGGATACCCAGTCTCACTTTCTGAATTCATCACCCTCTATTGCTATGTCTGACATGAAGTTGGGATTCTATTGAGTGCTCTATTTGTTGAATGAAACAAATTAGTAAGTCTAATTTAAATAATAGCTTAAGAATCAAAACAGGAATATAATACTGATCTCTACTGAAGTGTCAAAACACTAGAGTACATATTTATTAGCACATAACCCAGAAAGCAGACGTGACATTATAAATCCAGTCTATCATGTATCTACAGCATACGCCATGGTGCCCTCTGCATATCACAAGCCTTTCTAAAAGTATACAGTGAATTTGGTGAACCAATGCTCGATAGCTGTTGTATGTCAGTATCAACAATACTTATCAAGAAATTTAACGTCTTGGAAATGTGAAAGCAGAAAAATCCAGATTCTTCTCAAGGTATAAATATCCAATAACGGAATACATAAAACTTCACCTTGTCACACTAAAATAATTTCAAATTCTGAATCTATTAAAAACAGGGTAGCAGATCTGAACAATAGAGCAATGAAACAGCCAAAGGACCTTACGTTTCACAGTGACTTCCTGCCAGAGTGACTTTTGCTGAGTGCCATTCCTTCAGGTGTTTCAATGCTCCTACAGCAGGCAAGCACTCTTTTAGTTTAGGAGGATCTTTGTCAGAAGGCAACAATATTATGTCTATCATTGCTCTACCTAGAAGGACAAAAAAATTATAATTTTTTAAAAGATATTTGAACTGAAGAGGCTTAAAACAGTTCTCTAAACAACTGAAATTAAATTTCTTTAGAAGACAAATATTTCAACTTTAATTTCTGAAATTCTTCAAAACAACACACATCTTCAGGAGTTCAAAAATTTTAAGTATTCATCATTTGAGTTAATGCCATATTATCTTGAAATAGCTGGCATATGCTGGAGAACAATGAAGTATATCATAATTACTTGCCAATTCTCCAGCAGTAGTTAATTATACACATTGCTCTGGAAATCATCAACGCTATTGTTGTCCTGAACAGGGGGAAAAAACCTGTGCAATTTCATTATATTCTTCTGCATTTAATTTTGTTATCCAAAAGGGAATGAATCAGTATAAAATTGCAATGCTCAAATAAATCATTTCCCTTTAAAGGAAAATAAAACACACAGCATAACCAATTATACTAACATCATTAGATTCTGAGAAAGAAGGTTAACTTCACACCAGTTTACATTTTAGAAAATTATATTTTTATTGAAGGACAGAAAAATTAAAATGAAACGGAAACCAGAAAAAACAAATTAATGAAAGCCACTTAATTAGAGCAACTGTATAATATTTCAGCACATATTCTGAACCTGATATATTTCACTAAAAAAAACTGAAAGCTTGGTGGAGTAGCTCAATGGTCCGGTGCATGCTTAGTATGCACAAGGCTTTCAGTTCAATCCACAAGAAGAAAAACGTTATAAAAATTGCTGTATTTATTTGAGAATACATTCAGTTATTTTGTATATTGGACTCTGCAATAAAATGCGGCATTAAATATCATTTCCTTGAACACAAGGGCTTCTCTACCTGTAAGCTTTAAGAGCCTGTATGAAATTATCTAGCTTTGCATACCACTGTAGACTCTGCTTGCAGAACAATGCATGATATATAATACAGACATCAAACATCTGCTTACAAATGACCTTCAATAATGAAGCCATTCAGAAAAGAAAACTCTACAAAAGTATTGGAGATTCCCAAACTGTACCAAATTTGACATGATAGCTATCTCAGTAATACAAAGACAGCCAAGTTAAGGACAAAAAACAGTTTTAAGTATGATATGATACAGTTTTTCACAAAATATGCTTCCCATTATATGAAAAAAAAAAGGATTTTATAAAAACCTGCTGAGCAAAGAGCTTCCTTTTACTGCACAACATTCCATTTGGTAATATGTAAACTAAATTCACCATTAAAGAACGCTATCCAAATTATCTAGGTTAAAAAAGCTATTTTTCCCAGAATTTGTAGAATTAGTAGTCTTTAGAACATACTGAATTCATCACTCATTTACAAAAAGTGGAAAGTATAAATTATCAAAAGTAGTCAGAGTATTACCAGGAGCAGGAAGCTTGTCTGATAACTGATGCAGATTTTCTGCTGACTCTTCATAAAGACTGAAATAAAAGAATAAATTTAGGGAGAAACAGCCTACATATACATTTTATCTTTATAAGTCATAAATTTTTGTAGGTAATAATTATCTTTGTGCCAGACACTGTTAAATGTTATACATACCACCTTATTTGACCCTGCTGACAAACCCATGCAGTACTAATATTATTACTATTACTATCTCTCCTTAAATAAGCTGTCTACAATCATATAATTATTATGTGTGAAAGCTAGGATTCAAATTGGGAGATAGGAGTTCTATCCCATAACCAAAACCCAAACAGTCTCAATACTAATTATTAGGAACAAAGCCCTTAAATTGTATTCTATATAGTCAATACAAATAACTAAGACAAGACATTTTTCTAATCTTTAAAACCAGCTATTACTATGTTTTAATAAAAGGCACTGCTTTTTGATAATCAGTTAAGTCTATAACACTTTACTCAGATTCTTACAAACCTATTCATTTTATCCATATAATGAAATTTTGTTCTTAAAATAATTTACCATATAGTACATGTAAAAGTATTTAAATACCTTTTTAAAGCTGATCTGTCTAAAACAAAAAAACTTACAATATCATATGTTAAAATATTGTTTTCAGGCTCCCTCTTGTGGAAACAACTATTAGGTCAAAACTATCACATTATTTTTTCACACTGATAAGAAAACGTAACTGATAAGAGCTTATAAAAGCTTAATGAAGGCATCTTACAAAGCATATAAATTACTTCAATACTCAATGAAGGAGTAAAGACCAGACAAGGTAAGTGCCTGGCTTTGAGCCATGTGGGCAGAGATCACTTTTCAGACTTCCACTGCTTCTAGATCTTTTCTTGCTTCTGCACTGCTTCCTTCTTAATTAGAGCAAAGAATACAATCTGAAAATACAGGAGGAACTTTTAAAGCCTATACCATTTACAGATATATGAATGCTAAACAAATCAAAAGCAGTTTCCTGTCATGGCATGGAGACTAAAATAAAAAGTCTTTAATAATGAGTCAGAAATGGACTATTTTTGTGGAGAAAAAGATTATCAAACTTTATCACCTAGGTCATCTTATATGTTGTACCAAAACTCAAAAACCTTAAAAGTAAACTCAGTCAATACACTCCTTAGAAACTTGGTGAATTATAAAAAGTATCTGAAATGTTGAAGAGGAATATAAATTGAAAAAAATCACACATATTTCAGCCCCAAAGAGCAAAAGAAAAACGCACTTTAGAGTGAATGCAAGCTGTCGGCATTAAAGGCTGCCCCTAGTCAAGCTCTCACAGCATCAAGCAGGATTCAACTTAAAAAGTGGGATACAGTAAAGGGATATGATCATTAGAATATTTAAATTCTTACAGCTATGTAAGGTTAAAAAACATTTTCAGGCATTATTTTTGCATTTTAAAGAATCTTATCAGATAAAAGATGTGAATTACTTAATGTCTTCCAAAAGTGAAGTACTGATATCTGAGTTCATGAAACTCCCCCCACAATTGCTAAAATGTCATCTTTATCCCCCTTTCTCAAAAGAACTGGTTAACGCCGAGTGTCTTAAAGGCAGTACAGAAGCATATAAGCATACTCAGCCAAGGACACAGATTCCCTGCTATTACTGTCTTCTTCTTCAAAGCACTCAACAGCACTCAAGCAGTCTTCTATATTTGCTTGAAGAATATCTTCAATTTTATCTTTTTCATCATCAAAATGTATTTCTTGCCAATCAGAACTACAAAACTAAAAAAACATGGCGGTAAATAATGGTTTCATGGAATCCTTTATAGTAGCAAAGAAATTTACTAATAGCAACTACAAACTAACAAATCAAAAGGTGATATTAAATAACGGATTCATGAAACTGTTTACTGTAGCAAAGGCATTCAATAATAGCTATTACCTGATAAAATCCACATATTGCTTGCACTGCAAAGAACCACTTCTTGGAATGAGGTATACCACCCACTGAACAAGCTTGAAGATAAAAATCACACTTATTAGAAGAGAAGGGAGACAATGAAAAGCAGATGTCACAGTGAATTAATGCTTAGGGAATTACATAATTCTGAAACAGTCTATAATTTTCCAAGTTGTATACTTCTACACATGTGTATCTTTTTGAAATCTCTGGTAAAAATTCAAACAAAACAACCTGCCTAAAAAGCAAAATTACACATTTGTATTAATTCATCATAATTCAAAATCCATATTATTTTTTAAAAAATTATTATTATTATTATTTTATTTTATGTATATGAGTGTTATGCCTGCATGTAGGTAACTACACCATGTTGTGCAATGCCCGCGGAGGACAGAAGAGGCTGTTGGATCCCCTGGAACTAGAGTTACGGACACTTGTTAGCTGTCATGCGGGTGCTGGGATTTGAACCTGAGTCTTCTGCAAGAACAGTCAGTGTTCTTAACCGCTGAGCCATCTCTCCAGCACCCAAATCTGTATTATTTAAATCTAATATAAAGATGCTGAAAAATATTCTTACTCAGTTATGGCTGGGTGACACAAAACCATGTAAGCTACTGAGCGGAAACAATGGCTTCTCAAAGCCCATGCAATCTTAGTTCCACCTGTCAACAGGCAGATGTTCTACTTGGAAAACGCAGTAGTATGAAAGAAAATGAAATTAAGGTTTACTCTAGAGTACATGTCAGGAGTCATAAATAATTTAGAGCTATGTACAGAAACCAGATTCAAAGGTAGGAGGGGGAAGTGAAGAGTAAGGTGAAGTCTTGGAAGCTGGGTAAGATGCTAAATATCAGTTGCAGCTTTTAACTAAACCCCCCATCAAATCAAACCCCCTCCCCATCGAAACCATTAAGTAGTAACTCCTTTCAGGAAACACAGCTTTACTTTGACTCTTGTTAAGTCTTTCCTAGGTCCTTCCTGTCAACATGAAAGAGACACTGATCTTCCAATTCAAGGTCATCCCTCAAAATAGCCCAGCCTAGTCATTTCAATCCATTCTTCTCATCACCATTGAAAACCAGAAAATGTTTCTCAAAACATTTCTCAAAGTAGCATTTTTTGAATGGAATCCTTTTAATTCAATCTCAGTTCAGTGACTAATGTATCTCTTTCTTTACTCCTCTTCATGGCTAAACTTGCTGAAGATGCTGCCTCTACTCAACTGTCTCCAGCAACTCCAATTTTCCACTCCCCTCTAGTTCCATCTCAGTTGGGATTTTTTGTTTCTAGAATGCCACTGAAACTATACTCCCCAAAGGTGCTAAAGACTGGCTTCTCACTAAAATCTATTAATTTTTAGTTTTGTTAATATTTGACCTCTTAACGTAAGAGATCGCTTTCTCCTTACATCCCTAGAATCTGTGGCACCAGTTTTTCTGGCTGTTCCTTCACCGCCTCTTAGAAACTGGTGTTTGGTTTCTTTAAGAAGGGGGATTCTCTTAGCTTCAATTGTTCTCACCATCCATGAGCAACCTCCTCACTCCACAGCTTCCAATGACATCTATACACAGGTGAATTTATAATCAGATCTCCAGCCCTACCCTTCTGTATTTGAAGATCTAGACATATCTATTCAACTTTTAGCAAGTATTTTTATTTTGACATGGTCTTCCTGTAGCCCCAGATGGCCTGAAACCCTGTATGTAGACCAGGTTGGCCTCAATCTCACAGAGATCTTCCTGTCTCTGCCTCCCAAATGCTGGGATTAAAAGCATGTGCCACCACATCAGCAAGGAAAGACCTCTTAGGAAAAGTGAAATACTTCAAAAAGTCAACCCAGATGAGAACCACTATCTTTAGAGTTACAGTTTTATGTATTTTATATTTTATGTATTTTATATTTTTTAAAAGAATCAGTCAGAAAGATGAGAGAAAATATAAAATGGTAAACATATATATGGAGGAGATCATAAAGAGAGCAAAACTCAAGCAGGGGGCCCAGAACAACTTTTACAACAACTTTATGACATTCAAATATCAGGAAGGAAAAGGGGAAGTCTCTTTTTCAGTTTTGTATCCTTTAAGTTACCTCCATACCCCAGTGTCTTGTTCCAAGTCAAGTATTTCTTGTACTCCTAAGTGACCAGATTACCTAATTTCCAGTAAAAATGCTGTGCCAGACAAAAGAAGGGCTTTCCTCATACTCACCGGGGAATGTACTATCATCTGGATGGACTGAAGCACAGATGCTTCTCTTCAGAAGGTGGTAAACACTTGATGCTGTCAAGTCTGTAAAAATAAAGACCATCTAACTCTAGGGCTCAAGACTTACAAAATCGAGGCCTGTTTCAACTCCACCAGCAGAGAACATGAAGGACAGTATGGTATACATAAAGTACAATGTTGATCAAAAATCTATTCAAGTGTTGATATGATAAATTTGAGTAAGCAGCGAGAATAGTCAAGGATCCTAATTTGTACATGCCAGTTACCAAAAATCAAAAGCCCTCCTCCCACAAAGAACCATATACATTTTCTCTTCAAAACAAGGAAAATGTAATGCAGAGTTGAGACAGCAGTATCAAAAACCAGCGCAGTCAAAAGCAGTTAAAATCATTTAAAACAATGATTTTTTTTTTTTGATGTGACGTGTCTTTTCCCATTAGAGTGCAAAATCGGGGTCAGCAAGGACCTATCTTGTTTCTTTCTGTATTTACCTCAAGGTGGAATACAGAGGCATAAGCATTTTGTGAATGCCTAAGTCTCCAGGGAGCAGAAATTCGGTGACTAAGGCACAGGGGAGTCAATCAGTTAAACATTGACTGTGTTTACAAAACTTTTGGGCGCTGGGATCCAATACCCACAAATTTATACATTTCCATTCAGATGATACTGTTCAGCACATCCATCCTCCTGGGATCCCCGGGATGGTGTCCCCTCCCGCCAGTCATTCCCGCCTTTTCTCGGCCCCGAGCTTACGTGGCTGCTTCTCTGTGCTCTCCAGGGAAGTCACCTCCGCCCCGGGCTCGGTCTCCGCACTGGCCGCCGACGGAAACTTTCCTTCCCCCCAAGTGACCAGCAGCAGGTACCGATCCATTTTTCTCCGGCTCAAAAGAGCCGCGCGCACGGTGCACTTCCGGTTTCCCGCCGCTAAGGTTTTCTAGAAGTGAAGTCCTGGATTTTTGGTCCTCCGTCCGTTTTCTGCCAATTGTTCTCGGAAAGTATTCTCTCAATAGCTACATTATCTCCTCCTTCCACGACGAAATGGTTAGTCCTTGGGAAGCCTGGAGTGGGACCCGAGTGAGGAGAAACAGATGCAGGCTAGGCGCCGGGTAGGAACTATGGTGCTCGGGTATCTGTTTCCCGCAGGACTGGTTATGCTGGTGCCTCGGTTTGGCAACTGGAAACTGAAGGACGCTGGGAGCTGAGAAGTATGTCGAGCTTCTCTAGGGCTCCGCAGGTGAGTTCCCGTGCTAGTGGCTTGGTGGTGTGCTCATTACACTGGCAAAACAGAAAGGCGGGGGGTCGGGGGGGGAGAAAGCAGTGGTTCAGAGGGGTGCCTTGCGAAGTCACAGGACCTGAGGGTTGTGAGTCTGGCCATCACTTGATGCTTTTCTTGTACTACTATCTCATCTCAGTCTGCCCTTTTGTGTCTTTTTTCCCCCTGGAGAGACTGAGGAGAAATCAGCTAGGTAGTTAAATTGAATCACAGAGGGTACTGAAAACCGTTGAACGATGTTTATTTTTGCTGAGTATCATGGAGACTGGGGGCTGGGGCTATAGCTGATTAAGTTGATGCTTGCTTAACATGTTTAAGCCTTGTGTTCTATCCCAAGCACCGCTTAAACCGGCTTTTGTGGAGCACGTTTGTAATCTCAGGGCTTGGGAGGTGGAGGCAGGAAAATGAGAAGTTCAAGGTCAGCCTCAGATAATGGAGAGTTTGAGATCAGCTTGGCTTAAAGGGAGAAAAAAGGAACCAGTTGGAGGATTTTGACCTGAGGAGTCTTGGGTGTTAAAGGGAGCTCCTGGGCTGGTAGGCGGCAAGTAGACTGTTCACAGATGGTGATCAGAGAAGGTGAAAGGAAAAAATCCGTTTTAATGCTATTCCATTATACCAGGCAAGATACCGGTGCACAAGTGATACCAGTAACACTGGCGTGTTGAAAAGTCTGCTCCTCTTTATGGTTCAGTATTTCTTGAAGAAGTAAATATGGGTGAAAGAAAAAATAAAGATTATTTTAAGATTTTTGGTTTGGACAACTGGAAGGCTGTGGTATATGGAAGGCTAAAGTTGAAGCAGATTTCACATAGAAGGGTAAGAATTAGGTTTGGATCTGTTAGTCGGATGACACCTAGCCCACTTCCACTTAAAGTATGGTTCCTTTGACAGCAATTTGATATTGTGGCATCATTTGTATTGTTTCTCAAAGCTTTCCAGTTAAATTATCAAAGTGTTAGTCTGAATGGAATGGAAGAAACTTGTCTTTTTTTGTATAGGGTATTTGGAAATTTGTGATAATTAAATGAAAACAATCTGAATTGTGTTTTTCTGCCATATCATCTGTTTATATGCATAATGCATATGGTCACCATCTGTCTGGTATAGATATCTTTTTCTTACTTTGAAGATATTGATGAATACTGGAAAAACAGGAACTTGTTTCTCAACAACCTAAAAATGTCTGTTGAAGATACTCTAGAGGCTGGAACAGAGGAATCATAAGTTCATAGCCTGTCAGGAGAGGAGTCCAGAGTTAATTCAAGGCCAACCTAGGCAGCTTAGAGAGACCCTGACTGAGAAACGTTGAAAGGGGATGGAGATGTATGGAGTGCTTGCCTAGCATGTGAGAGGCCCTGGGTTCAATCCTCAGTCATACACACAAAAAAAGAAGAGCAAGAAAAAAAGATTTGTTGATCTTTAGCTATATCTACTTTTCTAACAGTATAGTTCTGTTTAGCTCTCCTAGGACTTAGTTCTTGAATTGTCTTCAATTTCCAATTAGCCACTCAACTTGGAGTATAATGTACCATACTATCTCAATACAAATGAGAAAAGACTTTCCTTTTCTAAAAACGATAATTAAAACAATAAATTTTAGTGGTAGTCTGTTTTTCAAAGTAATTGTTGATATGAATTGTATTTAATGTATTTAATCACTTCATTTTAATTAGAATTTTCTTCCCCTTTTTCTTTCTTTTCAAGCAATGGGCCACTTTTGCTCGAATATGGTATCTCTTAGATGGGAAAATGCAGCCCCCTGGCAAACTTGCTGCTATGGCATCAGTAAAACTTCAAGGATTGCATAAACCAGTGTACCATCAGCTGAGTAAGTGTTGCCGTAGGCCTGTCATTAGCACCTGTAGTTTTCACCCCAGAATAGAAACTGTGAATTTGACTACACGCTCGTGTGTATATGAGGATTCTGTATTCCATTCTTTCTGGAAAACTTCATAGAGCAGTAAACTGAATTTAGCTTATTGATGGAAAAGCCATGTGGGCCAGTTTTTCTAGGGCAGCCTCATTTTATGCCATTTCCAAACAAAAATTGCCAGTAGCCCTGCTTTCTGCTTTCAGTTCTGGAAGTTTATTGATCTGTACTATAAATTAGGTATACCCTCTTATACACAGCTCTTCACATAGTGACATGATTTGAAAAGAAAGTTTTTAAAAGTAAAGGAACTAATCCTGCCTACTTTCCTAAAATTCCTCCCCCTGGAGGATATATAGTGCTGGCTAGCTCTGGATGGTTGCCTTTCACTGTTTTGAATTAATAGATTTACTAGTCTATAACCTGGTTCAAATCAGCAGTGCTTTCATTCTGGACGAGTTCTACTTGTGGGCAGTTTGATTTGACTTTAATGAGTCCTTTTGCTGCCACATGCCAGTTTTCCTCTCCTTAAACATGGAAGTAGCTCAGGGCCCAGCCTTTGGACCTCTTCGAATTCATTAAGTGGTGGATTTTTGTCTCAGATCTCTAAAAGTCATATATGTGCTAATGCTTCTGAACATGTGTCTGTAGTTCAGACCTGTGTTCTGCACTCAGGATTCCAGTTTCTGTTCAGCATATCCTCTTGGGTGTGTACCCAGCAGACGTCTTCAAGTAGGCCCAGTTAGAGGCATCCTGCTCATGTTTTTCCCTACCCAAAGCAGCCTGTCCTTCTCAGTTCTTGCCATTTAGTTAGGTATCTCTGCCCCTTTGGATGTTCTAGTTTGAAGCCTTTGCTTCTTCTTTGTTCTGTGACTCCTTTTTTCTGAGTCCCCCACCCCATGCATAAGTACCTGATTTAAAAATTATGAAACAGTATACCTGTACTCCGGTACCTCCTCATTATCTCTCCCCTCTATACTTTTTTTCATTCCTTTATTTATTTATTTATTTATTTATTTTTTTTTTTTTTTTGAGAAAGGGTCTCACTATATGTCCCTGACTTTTCTCAAACTCACAGACATCCATCCGCCTTTGCCTCCAAGTGCTGGGATTACACGTGTGTGCCAGCACACCCAGCCTCTATACTCATTTTAAACTGTTCTACTCTCTATAGGCCTTGCCCTTATATAGTTTTGTTTTTCCTTTTTGGTTGTTTTGTTTTTGAGGCAGGGTCTCACCATGTAGCCCTGACTGGCCTGGAATTCACTTTGTAGACCAAGTTGGCCTCAGATTCACAGAGATCAACCTGCCTCTGCCTCCTAAGTACTCAGTTTAAAGATATGGGCCACCGTGCCTTTTTTGTTTTAATTTTTGTTTTGCCCCACAGACAAACCTTAGTTCTCTTTTCCAAATGATAGAGTACTAGACTTCTACAGATTTCCCACAAGGGCTTATTCATTTAGCCTCTGCTTCCTTCGTGTTCTTTTCGCCTGTCTCTCCCCTGAGCAATCTCCTGAAGCCTGCTGCTCTTTTCCTTATAGGCACATTTCTGCCTTGGGTCCTTTTCACATCCTGCTCCCTCTGCCCAGAAGTTCTTTCCCAGATAACTGCATGGTGTACTCCTTCTCATCTTTGTATTTCTGGTCAGCGAGGTCTGCTCTGAGTAAGGCCCCATTCGATCCCTTGTCTATTCACCCTTTCACTCTCTGAACCTTTATTTTTCCACTTTTAAAAAAATAGCATCTATGTATCATTTGACATGAACATATTTATTATTTACATTATTTACTAGACTGATTTTCAAAGGAAAAAAAGAAAAAAAACAGGGACTGCCTGTTTTGTTAACCTCTGAATCCCAGTGTCTATAATATTGACACATAGTTGGAATGTAAGAAATGTTTACTGTGTGAATGTTTGCATGTATAAATGCTGGCTATGAAAATTAAAAACAAATACTTTCAGCTATGTGAGCTGTTAGATTTGGGATCCATGGAACACAGGGAGGAAGTATTCCAGATGACTGGATCTGGCTAAGAGCGGGAGGAAGTATTCCAGATGACTGGATTTGGCTAAGAGCGGGAGGAAGTATCCCAGATGACTGGATCTGGCTAAGAGCAAGCCTTCATTATTTTCCCTGTTACACTTGTTTCTCATTTGCGCTTCATTTAATGAATATTTCAGTAGAATATTAGAACAACCCATACTCTGAAATCTGTACATATAGAATCTGAAGATTTTGTTATATTCAAGAATTTAGTTGAAATATGTGGTCCATAATAAATACTTATCAAAGTAGTTTACACCATGACAGTTTCAAACAGGTGTTTCATAAGTACAGTTGATTTTTCCTGTTTTGGGAGTTAGGTTCTGTAGGTCACCATGAACACTGAGTTAGTGAATAGAGCACAGTGCTTTTAGGTGAAAGACAGCTCACAACATTTTTATCATCCAGTCAATATGTTGACCTTGTTTATGTGGGTTTCTGTCTAAAGACCCTAATACAATGATGAATTCTTTAACATTGAGCTCTCAACCAACATCACTGTGAAGTTAGCTTATCTAACACACACTGTCTCTGCAAAGTACATCACAGTTTTCTTGTACTTCTTACACTCCAGTGCCAGAGTTGGGGGATCCTTTAAACAGTGGAGGCACCTAGCAAAAAGTACAGCAATAAAAAGACCTCCAGAATGGCACTTGTTTGTATAGAAGGCATGGAACAAGAAGGTAGAACATCACTTTCTTCAGCCTCAGCTGTGAGTGAGTGCATCAGGCGACTCAAATTTTAGCAAGTAAAGAAATTCACAAATATGAAATCATGAACAATGAGATAAACCATTTTTGAAAAAAGATCAGCAGAGTTAAACTCTTACAAACATGAATCTATTTTTCTTAAAAATATTTGGCACAGTAGAAAAATGTATTTTCTTTGAATTACCAGTTTGTAGAATTTAACTGCCTCTCTGACAGATGAAAAAACTAAAATCGGAAGAAGACTCTAGCATTCCTCCTCCCATCACCTGCGGACTAGGAGACCTGGTTGGAGCTTCAGCTCCTGCTTCCATGTGTACGGAATTCTCCATTCCTGTTCTGTGTGATTTTTAACCACTTATGCTGTTTGTGCTCATGTACTTGATCCTTAGGAATGGTATTAGTGAACAGTAAATAATATCTCTTCGAGTGTCTCTGTAGAAATAGAAATGATAAAGCAGAATGAGTAATAGTCATGTACTTTCTCTCGATATAAGAATTATCAGTTTCTTCTGTTTAAAGTTCTGTTTCTTAAAAGCAAGCCATTAATACAAAAGTATCGAGGTTTTGTTTTTTGTTTTTGGTCTTTTTGAGACAGGGTCTCCCTATAGCCTCAGCTGTCCTGGAACTCAGTATGGAGACCAGGCTGGCTTCTTATCTCATAGAGATCCACCTGCCTCTGCCTCCAGAGTGCTGGAATTAAAGGCACGTGCCACCACACCTGGCTTACACAAGTATTGTTTAGACACTGACTGACAATACACGTTCTCCAGGAATACCAGAAGAGCTGTTGTGACTGTCAGATCATCCGTCTCAAGAATAGAGAACAGCTTGTTTATGAAATTAGAAACTTATTGTAAAAGACTGTATTTTATTTTGGCATCACTGTATTGAACACTTAACTCTACATCAGCAAAACTTCTCATGACCACAAGATGTCACTGCAGTCAAATTTTTAAATTGCAAGCATTTTTCAGTTTACAAATACATTGTATTTTAAGAATTTATTTCCTGTTATGTAGCCTTTGGCTGTACACATGAACTCTTAAAGAATTATACTGATCTGTTTAATCTTTGGTTATAATTTCCTTTGGGGTGTTTAAGACCATACAGTTGGCCCAGATAAACCAATTTATTTTTACTCTTAAGGCCGTTTGAGGATCTGTTCTTCAGGGGTCATGTGGACTTGAGAGGAGCCTCTGGCTCCTTTCTTTTACCAGTTCCATCTATGTGAAGATAATTCAAAGGTCCTGCTTGACTGTGACTGGCTTTACTTGGAAGCATGGAGGAAATGTTTCCTCTGTGTTGACCCTCCTCTTTGTAGACTGAACACTGGTTCAAGTCTCTCTGGTGGGGTCTCCATATCCTCCTTGATCAAGAGGACAGGTGACTCACCAAAGTTAAAGGACATTTTGAGAGATACTCCATAGTCCCCGGGAACTTAGTTGACCTTGGAGGGCAAGGAGCAAAAACTGTCCTTTAAGTCCCTCTGACCAGATTAGTATAAGCTTCAAAGTATGGCTGTTAAACATCCAAGAGGTTAGTTCCACCAGTCTGGTACTTTTAATTACCATGTGCTATGCAGATAATGCTTGGGCAAAACCCAAATGTTCTCAGATAAACCTTGACTAGACATATATTATGTTCCTTGAGCTAGTTGTATGTATAATTTGTCAGTAGGTTGTTGGATTAATATGGTTCCCTCTGTTTTTTTCAAAACTAGCTAGGCATTATTATAACAAGAAACAATGCCAGACAGGAGATCCTTCTTTTGAGTTGTTGACCAGGGTGGCCCAAGAGACTCCCAGACAGTAACCCAGCATAGAACTGGGAAAATGAATAGCAGACCCCAATCTTATCTAAAGGAATGTTGGCAATTGATTGCTGCTAGATGAGGAAGAGCTGATCTTCCTAAAACAAGGAACTCTAGGTAGGCTGACTAGACTCATCGGATGGACTAGCACTGAGGAATGGCTGGGGGCACTGATAACACAGTGGACAGTAACAGGGATGACAGAGTATATGGTCTCCATTGTGGGGACGGGGAGGCTATGGGAAGTCCCATTTGGGATGTGGTTATGAAGATGAATAAGATTATTTAGTATGTGGGGCTGGAGAGATGGCTCAGCAGTTAAGAGCACTGACTGCTCTTGCAGAGGACCCGGGTTCAATTCCCAGCACCCACATGGCAGCTACAAATCATCCTTAACTCCAGTTCCAGGGGAGTCCGAAGCCCTCTTTTGACCTCCACGGTAGTGCATGACATGGGTGCACTCACATTGCAGGCAACACACTCATACACATAAAATAAAAATAATAAAATATTTAATAAAAAGTTTGGGATGTTCTGTATGAAATACTCAAAAAAATCAATAAATTAAAAAAATGAATTATGTTTGAGGAAGAAGCATAAAAATTTGCTTCATGTTAATTAATAGATATGAAAAACATTACCATTGCAATCTACCATGACTTTATATCCATACTCAAGTGCCAAGGGTCTCAGAAAGGAGCCGACTATGACTAGTAATAATCAGATATATAGAGGTGTTCAAACATCTAAGTGTTAGTTGCATTAAAAATGAGTTTTTCTGAATGAAACAGTATATTTTAAAAAGAAATGAAGATCTTTTTTAAAGGTTAAAACCTCATTCCATTTTATGTCTTAAAGGGTTTATACTGAGTACAATAATGTATAACTATTAATTCAACACCGTGAACCTAAAAATTTACAGCCAATTTTGAAAGAGATGCATCTTTGCTCTGGAAACTGTTATTGATTATGTCAGTGCTGTTGTTATGAAATGCTTCTATTAATTATGTGGTTATTAAATAAATTTAAAAAATGAATTTATTTCCAACATTTATTTGTTTAATAAGCATTCATGTACCATGTATTAGGGGTTCATAATCACTACACATGTTTGTTTAAAAAGTGACCCACAGATGGTTGTACTTCCAGGAATGGCTATAAAGTTGACAAGATATCTGAATGGAGCCTATATGATATCTGAACAGCTTGGTTTATCAAATGAACCTTTGAAAATGTTATGGAAAACCAACTTTTCATTTACCAAGGTTTTTCTGTTTTCTTTTTTCATTATTTTATTTATTTGTTTATTTATGTGTGGGACTAGGAATTGTACCCTAGGCTTCATACATGCCAGGCTAGAACCAACTGAGCAGTATCTGCAGCCCCTTTAAGTTTGTTTTTGTGAGCGATGTAGGTGAAGACAAAAATGGCGGAGACTTGCTAGAAAGCTATTATCACAGAGTTCTTGCCGTCACATTTCATGGCAAGCTACGTGATACCTGTCACATTGGTCACACAGGCTCAGGGATGTAAAAATCAGGATATTTGACCTTCCAAAATTGGAAACAGGCATAAAGGCAATGCCAATTTTTGTTCTTTATCACTTATTCTGAATAGCAGTTTTTAAACATTTCTCCCACCAGGTCTTACACTGTATTGAACAGTAGTACCATGCTAGCTGAAGGAGAGAAAAGTTGCTGACTCACTGGCCATGAGTTACCGTGTGAGGACACAAAGACTCAAGTACAGCTTAAAACACACAGCGCTAAAGTAGTGCTTGTTATTTATTTATTTATTATTTTTATGTGTAGGAGTGTATTGCCTCCTGTGTGTAAGTGCACGAGTGTCATGCAGTGCCCTCGGAGGTCAGGTTAGGAAAACGTTGGATCCCCTGGAGTTGGAGTTATGGACAGTTGTTAGCCCTCATGTGGATGCTAGTTATTGAATCCAGGTCCTCTGTAAGAGCAGCCAGTCTCTTAACCACAGAGCCATCTCTCCAGCTCCAGATTTACTCATTGTTTATTTGGTTTGTCTGCATGTGTGTGGCACACCCCCACACATGGAATGCCCATGGAAGCCAGAAAAGGGTGCCAGGTCTCCTGGAGCTGAAGTTGTAGACTTGTTAGCCACCACGTGGGAACTGGGAACTGAACCCGGGTCCTCTGCAAGAACAGCCAGTGCTCTTAACCACAGAGCCATCTCTCTAGCCCCTTGACTTTTATTTGCAGTATTCAACGTCCCTTGAAAAAGATAAATTCTACTTTGGTGAAAAGTTAAAAAGATTCAATTTTTTCTTCAAGTAGGTATCACAGAAAGAGCCTGACTTACAGTATGTAGCTTGATGTGTAAGCTTTGACTGATCTTTTAATCCTTTTTGTTTGTCATTTTTGGTCTTTTTTTTTATTTTTTGAAATGGTGTGTCTTGCTGGTCTGGTACTCACCATGTAGACCAAGCTGGCCTCGATCTCAAAGAGCTCCACCTGCCTCTGCCTCCCAAGTGCTGGGATTAAAGACGTGCATATTTTCATACCATTTTTATTTGCTTTTCTTGTTCATTGGCCCAACTGCTTTAACAGCCCACCATGTGTCACTTTTAGGACCGGCTGTCATTTCATTAGCTAAATATTGTCAGACTTTCCTCTTTGGTCCATTCACAGCAGGTTTTCCAGCTCTTTCCTCTAGCTTCCATGTTCCTCTCACTGAGTAATGACAACCCACCCACGTTATCTTCTTTCCTTTGCCCTTGTCCTGTCTAGAATACGAACTTGTCTCTGAAAACTCTCTGACTCAATTTCAGTATTTGCATAGACTCTTCGTGTAATTTTTGGAGATTGTGATAGTGTACTGATTTACACTTCTTGTTTGTTTTATATTTTATTTATTTTTATTTTATGTGTACGAGTGTATTGCCTGCATGTATGTGACTGCACCCGTGTCGTGCAATGCCGCAGAGGTCAGAAGAGGGCTTCGGATTCCCCTGGAACTGGAGTTAAGGACGGTTCATAGCTGCCATGTGGGTGCTGGGAATCGAACCCGGGTCCTCTGCAAGAGCAGTCAGTGTTCCTAACTGCTGAGCCATCTCTCTAGTCCCTACACTTCTTGTTTTTAGGACTATTTTCCTTAAATGTGCTTCTTTTAAAGTTTGTTACTTTCTAGTAGAAGAACAAGCATTCTTTTTTTCAGAAGTGTAAAATTTATTTAAAACCACCCACAAAGTTTATTAGAAATGATACAATTTGCAATAGCTTTTTTTAAAAATTCATGACAAATATTTAAAATATATTTTCAATTACAGTATTCATTTAGCCTTATTCAGTTAGAATAATTTAAAAAGAAATTTTATACTCTAAACAAATGAGACACACAAGGAAAATATAATACACAATTTTCACAACTATCTTTACATTTATATTGCATGTTACTTGAAGGATCTGAATTATGGTGCACAACAAACTGTACATGATTTCATGTTTATGTAGCGAAGTGCGTTGAAATAGTATTAGAATGGGCATTTAATGTTTCAGATTAGTTTGTTTCTAATAGTGGTTCATGTGAAAACTTGCATGTTGACTTTTTGGTTTGTTTTAAGATGAACAGTCAAATTTAAGGACCTTTTTTCATGAGAAAAGGTGTACAGTATGTACATTTTTATTTTCAGGTCATCTGGCCTATCCAGGATGCTCACAGTCATAGCAGAGAGTGGCATTTTAAATTTAACTAGTTAAATATGGTTGGAAAAAGCCTTGTGGCAGTAGTTAAGCATAAAATCATACAGCTCTGTTCTCTAAAATTGTAAAGAATAATAACCAATTTTAATGTTTCACATTTGTTTCCAATTTCCCTATTGGTAAAACATACTTTTATACTTTTATATACATATTGTTTTCATTTTCTATGCTGTTTGTAAAGAAAAACTTGTATCAGATATTTAAAAGTAAATGTAATACAAATGTTTAAATGTTTAACATTTTAGCAAAGTGAATTAATTGTCAGTGGGAGAGGTAAGAGGCATAATAATAGTTTGCCTCTAAAAAATGTCATTATTGTCACTTTTTTAAAATTTTTTTTACCTTACATTGTTGAGGTTTTCCAGGTGGCCAGCCAGCTTTTTTTATTCTTAGGTGGTACATAAAAAACTAACAGAAATCTGTTCAAGGATTTTTGATGTCATGCTGTGATTTTTATTTTCCAATATGTTGTTTGCACTTTGGTAACTATAAATAATCAAGGCCACTTTTGCTAAGGCTTTGGTATTTTTATTCAGAGTCTTTCTGTCTTATTTCTTTTTAAATCTAGGTGACTGTGGAGATCATGTTGTCATAATAAACACAAGGCACATTGCATTTTCTGGAAACAAATGGGAACAAAAAGTATACTCCTCACATACTGGGTAAGAGAATGCCATTATGAAAGAAAATAGGTCAAATATATGTTCTTAATAATAATACTGTTGCTCATATTTCAAAGGAAAAAGGATATTTTGGGGGGTGGTCTTTTTGAGACAGGGTTTCCCTGTAGCCCCAGGTATCCTGGAACTCACTATGTAGACCAGGCTGGCCTTGAACTCACAGAGCTTGAACTCACAGAGATCTGCCTGCCTCTGCTTCCCAAGTGCTGGGATTAAAGGTGTGTGCCACCACGCCTGGCAAAAAAAAAGGATATTTTTAAAAACTGCCATCTAAGAAAATACCGATTTTACTAACATTACATGTATAACTTAGTGAACAAACGCACAAACTACCAACTACTATGTATCAGCTGATAGTATTTTTTTTCAAGTTTCTCATATAATTTCTCCATAATACTAACATTAAAAACGATTTAATAACAATAAGGCTTTGTTATTTTGTGATGGGCATTTGATTATTTTCATTTTTTTTTAGGGCTGTCATATAGCCCAGGCTGGTCTTGTCCTCACTCTGAACTCCTGATCCACCTACCTGTGTCTCCCTTGTGCTGGGAATATGGGAATGTGCCAGCACCCAGCTTCCTTATCACTGTGTATGAATTTTGTGTATTAAGAATATTAGTCTACTATTATATATTTTGCTTTTTATACATATATGATGTTCTTTACTGTTGCTTTATTTTTTAATATTTTAATTATTACTTGTATTTTATGTGTATGAGTGTATTGCCTGCATGTCCATAAGTGCAACTATGTTGTTCAATGTCTGTGGAGGTCAGAAGAAGGCATCAGATGCCCTGGAACTAGAGTTAAGAATAGTTGTTAGCCAACACTTGGGTACTTGGACTCGAATCCTGGTCCTCTGCAAAAGCAGTAATTTAATCTTTTTTTTCTATTGTAATTCTGATTTCTAGTCCCAGAAAATCCTTTCTCAATACATAATTTATAAACATTTTTAAATTTGTAAACAAACCTTTCTAATTTTTTTAGGCATTGAATGTACCTTGAGCTTTCATGTTTAACACCTCATTTGAAATACATTGGCATGATTGACCAACATAATCTGTTTCATCATTTTTCTTGAGGACCTCTGCTTCCCCAGTACTCAGTGTTGGGGACTTTTAGGGAATATTTATGGAATTAATTTGAATGAGATACTCCATGCAGGCCATCTCATAGCAAGGCAGGAAATGTCTTTACTTTGTCACTAGAGAAAACCAGCTGAGTGCCACATTACTCAAACCATCTGCTACTTGGAATTTTGCATTGGTTTTCCAGATCATTCAAGAGAAAAAGTCCAGACTCTGGAAATATAGCATAAGTGGTATTATGCTTTAGAATTTGCCATTGCAAATAGAAAATAGAAAGATAGTCTTTCACATAGTCATTACAAAGTACTTTTCCGTGAAGAGAAAGAATACAGAAATAGATGTCTAGACAGGTATTTTTCTAAAACTCAAAGTCCATGAAACAAATACCAGTTTGAAAAATTGCCATCTTTCTCCACAAACTTAAAATTTTAGTTTTTAAAGTTATATTTCTAGTATTCAATTCCTTCAGTTATCTTTAAATATTTTCAAATTTTCTTGAAAGTAAAATGAAAAGAATCACATTAAGTGACCCTAAATTTTTCTTAAAGTGCCCCACCACTGGTAAAACTTAGTCTTCTGTTTGCAGTGATAAGCCTTTATATCTGTTGTTTTGTTGTCACGTTCTTAAGATTCTTCACAAATACTCTGTCACTTGACTCAGAATTTTGTGAGCTTAGATGGGCAGATACCATTTTTTAATTTGGATAAAATCATATACAATCAGGTAAAATCAGTGTTTCATTTTATTGAGAGTCACTGACCAAACCTGGTTTCCAGATCTGGATGTGGTTGCTAAGCTGAGTCCAATACTGTTCCAGTTTGCCCCTTTCATGTCTAATATTTGATCTGAACACAGCGAAGTACTTGATTTATTACTTAGAGTCAAGATATTACTCCTAGTGATCTTTTACTTACTATTAAAACAGGATTGTTACCTGTGTAGAGAACTCGCCAGGTGTGGTGGTACCCACCTGAAATCCTAGTAATTGCAAAAAGGATCAGGAATTTAGAATTATCCTCAGCTGCACCAGTTAGATGCCAGCCTGAGCCATATGAGACCATGTCTCCAAAAATAAGAAAAGAAAAAATAAGCATGACTTCACCAAGTATTCCACCACCACTTTCCCTAACTTTGACACCCGCAGGTGCAATTTGTCTAATTTCATAGGGAACATGAGTTATTCTGGCTCATTGCTTATTTCTTTTTGATTTTTAAAAAAGATTTATTTTTATTTGGGGGGAGGGGTATCCACCGAAGCTGTCAGATCTCTTGGAACTAGAGTTACAGGCATTTGTGAGGGACCTGATGTGGATGCTGAAAACCCAACTTGAGTCCTCTGGAAGAGCATACCAGCTACTGGTATAAATGAGTGATAAACTTTGTTGAATGAATGAACAAATTATAAAATTCACATGAACATAGTTATACCCAGAAGCTTTTCTAAGAAATAGAGCTGTCTATGCAGTAGCTATAGTTGGCCCCTTCACAGAAAAGCATTTCAAATACCATGTCTTATTATTTGATTTTTTAATAAGTGTGTGTGTGCATACATGCATGCCACAGCACATGTCGAGGTCAGAGGAGAAGCAGGTGTCGGTCCTCAGCTTCTACTTTGTTTCGAGGCAGGACATCTTGTTTTTCTGCTGTGTATGTCCCACTAGCTGGCCATCAGCTTCTAGGCCATCTCCTGTCTCCCCCTCCTGTCCCCCTGCAGGCACACGGGGATTAAAGATGCCTGCTTCTGCATCTAGCTTTTATGAGGGTTCTGGGAATTCAAACTCAGACCCTCATTCTTGTACACGTACTGTACCTACTGACCATTTCCTCAGTGTCATTACTATTTAATGTTTTCAAAGAAAAGATCTTTCAAAATTTGTTATTTTGTAATAACACGAGAGAGAGAGAGAGAGAGAGAGAGAGAGAGAATATATACACATGTGCACTTGTGGAGATCAGAGCACAAGTTGTAGGCGTGGATTGTCTCTTACTGTGTGGGTCCCAGGGATCAAACTCAGGTGGTGAGGCTTGGCCATGGGTGCTTTTTCTCCTGCTGAGCCATCTCCCCAGTCCCCATTATATTTAAGACATTGTTAAACATTATAATTAGAAGCAGGGTTCGTTTGTTAAAATCATTTTCTTATTGGAAAAGGTTGATCTGTTTAAGAACGTTTTGTTTCTTTTAACAGCTACCCTGGTGGATTTAGACAAGTTACTGCTGCTCAGCTTCACCTAAAGGATCCAGTGGCAGTAAGTCTTGTTTTTATTGACTGTCTAGAGAAGACCGTGTCACTGTTGTCAGGTCTCCCTTCTAACATAGGCATTATGTGGGGTGGTACATACTCCACTGTAGCTATACAGTTTTAGTAAGTGCTGTTCATTATCTTCTGTGTTTCTTAATTACTATTACTGTTACATCAACTCATAGAATTCTGATGCTTTCTTTATTCTTGCCACATGTATAATTGCCTAGAATATGATGATTGCTGCAAACACTTAGGGAGAAAGGTAGATACATATATGTGCTGATGTTTGCTAAATACATTATACTCTTACTGACTTGTTTTTTGTTTGCTTGATTTGTTTTTTAGCTAAAAGTTTATTAATTACTAAAATATCAGTTATGGATTTGTTAATTTCTTTGTAGGTCTGTCCATTTGGGGTTTGTATATTTTGAAGATTTAATGTTAAATGAATTTAAGTTTGGAATTATAATCTTAAAGAATAGGACCAGGTATGATGGTGCATACCTTTATTCCCAGCACTTGGGAGGCAGAGGCAAGCAAATCTCTGTGAGGTCAAGAAGCCAACTTGATCTATATAATGAGTTCCAGTCCAGCTGGGGCTGTAGGGAGTCCCAGTCTCCAAAATAAAAAAGGATAGATTAAGGTCAATGTGTGTGAGCCTTACTTGTCTCCACTTACACTCTTACCTTGAGGTCTCTTGTTTCTCTAACTTTAATATGGCTCTACCAGTCTCCTTTTGATGTGCATTTGCCTCATATATCATTTTCTATAGCTTAAACTTTCTGACCCCTTCTAACGTCCACTCTCTCCCAATCTATGGGCTTTTTTTTGTTTAAGATTGATTTTATTCCTTTCAATTCAGTCTTCTTGTTACTTATCCTGTTATTGTTTTGGCTTTTTTTGTTGTTTTGTTTTGTTTTTTGTTGATTTGTGTGTTTAGTATTTTCTCATTTGCTTATAATCTCCTATAACTTAGCCTTCCTTCTGGGGTCTGTTTCTTTCTCCATGAAGTAGACTTCATGTTGACATTCCTTCAGTAACGTTGTCTTAATATCAAAATCACTTTGGTTTTGGTTTTTTTTGTTGTTGCCATTTGCCTTGAAACTCTTCTTTCAATTTTGCTTTCATTCTTGATATGTATTCATCCTACGCTAGACTGGTGTCCATGCTGGACTGGTTCCAGGACCTTCTGTGGATAAGGAAGTCTGCAGATGCTCAAGTCCCGTACATGAAGTCCTTACCATTTCATGTACCTATGCACATCTCCTCATATTCTTTTATATCATCTCTAGGTTACTTTTAATATCTATTAGACTATAAACACTGTGTAAATTGTTGTTACACTGCACTGTTTAGGGAATCATGATGGAGGATTCTGTAGATTTATAATACAAATGCAATTTTTTTTCTTACAAATATTTTCACTGCATAGTTGGTTGAATCTTCAGATGCTAAACTGATGCAGAGGACCAACTATACATGTAATTTTGAATAGCCATTTTGTTTTTCACTTGGATTTTCAAGCTGTTAGTCAAATAGGTCTGAGTTTCTAAAGATTTGATAATCATTTAGCGTTCCATGCTTTAACATTTCCTCGGTTCCATTCATGCTCAGAGATGTGCTTCTTAGAAACTAGTTAACGTTCCATTTCATAGCTGCTGTGTTCTTACACATTACAGATCATTGTATTCTGTCTGACTTGTTTGCTTATGACTTGCATAGAAAGATTATGAGGTTGGATGGATAGATGGATGATAATCTCTAATGGAACTGCTATAATAGATGATAGTTGTAATTATAAATATTTTAAGTTTGGAAAGTTAATTTCTATTTAATTCAGGTATATGAACTGTACACTAGGAGGCGATATAAGTCAACTTTTTAACATCAAGTTGGCATTTGATGAGGTTTATGAAAAGCGTTTCAAACTTTTTCAAAATAATACAAAATAATGGGTTTGATTATGGAAATTTCATATATATTTCTTTATACTTCATTCTAATTCTAGTTTTTTAAATATTTTATTATTTTTATTTTATGTGTATGAGTATATTGCCTGCATATGCAGAAGTGCATCCGTGTTGTGCAGTGCCCACAGAGGTCAGAAGAGGGCGTCATCCCCTGGAACTGGAGTTATGGATGGTTGTTAGCCATCATGTGGGTGCTGGCAATCGAATTTGGGTCCTCTTCAAGAGCAGCCAGTGCTCTTAACCACTGAGCCATCTCTCCAGCCCCTCTAATTCTGATTTTGATGAACAAAACTTGAAACACATTACACAAGGTTTGGTGAAGGCTTAGAAAATATTTCAACTAAACCTATGTGCCTTATTACCTCATTGGAAGATCTTCATTTTTTTTTAAGTCTTATTTTTGACTTTGGCTTTTGAATAAGAGTAGTTTTTAAGGAAGAAGTCAGCTATTTTATTTCAAATTCAAACACTATGTTTCTTTTAACCAGTAGGCTCTGCCTAGAGACATAATTTGCTAATCAGTCAGTATTTGGTTTATGTGAATTTTCAGAGAATTTGTTTCATAATTCTGCCATCCTATTGGTGTAGCTTTGGAATATTACTGGGAAAATATATTGATATTTAATAGGTAAACAGATAACAGTCATTTGGAGAATATGCTTAAGAATTTTTTGTAACTAAATGAACTCTAATTTCAGTTGCATGTACTCTAGTTTCAGGTGCATGTGTTGATTCATCCTTTATCCCTGTGCCATGTATAGTGTATTGTCTTTAAGAGTTTTCTATCCTTGTATTTTCTTCTAGCATGCTTCCTTTCTTCTCTCCTTCATAATAATATTTAAGTAATTAATGGATTATGACAATATATTATGCTATAATATAACAGTGGATTATCTTATTCTGTGTGAAACAAATGGAATATACCTGTGGATTACAGTTTATGTAAGAAAGGTCTTTAGTATTCTATTGTTTTTGTGTTTTATTTAGTGTGTGTATGTGTGTGTGTGTGTGTGTGTGTGTGTGTGTCCCACAGCATTTGAGGGGGATCAAAGGACGTCTTACAGGAGTGGCCTCTCCATCCACCATGGCCCCTGGGAATTGATCTCAGGTCATCAGGCATGGTGAGAAATGCCTTTACTTACTGAGCCATCTCACTGGTCCCATTAGTATTTATTAACTCTACCTTTTTCTGTCTCTTTTACTTTCTGAGTTTTTTAAAAACTGATCCTTAAGTCTGCAATTTCATGCACATGCTGTTTCACATGTTTTAACTATTTGTGTGCCTGTCATTTTTTTCTATTAGTTTGTAACCCTTTTACGTTTTCTAGTTTTCCTTAATTTGAATATGATATTTGCTTTTGTTTGTGGTTGTTGTTTATTTGTGTATTTGTTTTTGAGACAGCTGTAGCCACAGCTGGCAGTGGAATTCACTATGTAGACGAGGCTGGCTCAGTCTCACCGAGATTTACCTGCCTTTCTTTGCCTCCTGAGTGCTAGAATTAAAGGCATGGCCATCATATCTCGCCTTGATGTTTGAATTTTTTTTCTTTTTTCAATATTTTTTTTATTTTTATTTTTAAATGTGTATGTGTATATTGCCTGCATGTAGGTAAGTGCACCCATGTCGTGCAATGCCTGGGGAGGACAGAAGAGGCTGTTGGATTCCCTGGAACTGGAGTTACGGGCAGTTGTTAGCTGCCATGTGGGTGCTGGGATTTGAACCCGGATCTTCTGCAAGAACATTCAGTGTTCTTAACTGCTGAGCCATCTCTCTAGCCCCCATCGTTGAATTTTAAAGGACAAATTTTAAAGAGCAACTAGGTAATTCACCTAAGTATATCTAAAATTTTTAGGGCTGTGAAAGCTAAATGCCTTGTGGTTGTATAAGTGCAATTACTTGAAGAATGATTCAGTGGATATAATGACTCACTTATCCAGAAAAGATGCTGTGTGGCCTAGCACTGTCAGTTCTGCTTAGCACTGAAGCACTGAAAAGTTTAAGCATTAACCACAATGCTATCCAACAGAAATTTGTGCTGTGAAGGACATATTCTGTCTGCTCTGTCAAAATGGTAGCCTCCAGCTACATGGCAGTGGGTCACTTAAAATGGGGCTCTGGAAATGAATTTTTCAAGTTCTTTTAAGTTTAACATCATAAACCTGTATTCAAATAAAGTTGCCATAATGTGAAGTCTAATACAGAAATAGATGCAAAAAATATGACACTAGCTTTTGTGTGAAGTAGCTTTGTAGTCTGATTTTATAAGAAACTAAAAAGATTAGGAAATCTTCATACAGTGCAGCCCTGTTCTATTGTGTATAGTTTCAGTGGTCTGGTGTTAACACACATCACATTATATCCTTGTAGGAGTACAAGTGACAACAATAAATTTAACATTCCAAGTCTCTCTCGGTACTTTTTTTTCCGTGTATATGTACTTACTGTGTCATACATGTGTTTTGTGTGCACATATGGAGGCCAGAGGTTGACATAGGATGTCCTCCTCAATAGCACTCTACATTTTTTGTTGTTGTTGTTGTTGAGCCAAGGTCTCTTATAAAATCTGGCAATCCCTGATTGGCTAGACTGGACAGCAAACTCCAGGGATCCACCTGTTTCTGTTATGCCCTCTCCCTTCAGCACTAGGGTTACAGACAAGTGTGATCATGCTTGGCTTTTTAAGCTGGTGGCTGGGATCTGAATTCCTGTTTGTGGTATAAGCACTTTACTGACTGAGCCAACTGCCCCCACAACCTGCAGTACATTCATGAATAGTTTGCAGTGTGTTTATATATATTACATACTTGAAGGTCCACAGGAGATGTAGAGGCCAGGCAATGCCTTACATATAAAATCACATTCATACCAGCAATGAGGATGGTATAAATCATAGAAAAGTTAAGTTGTCACTTGGGATGGGTATGGTAGAAGACAATTTTTGTCATCTTGATAACTTATGGAAGGAAGCATATTTGCAGAATGTATCTGTTCCCGAGAATAATACTGCTTAGTTTGAATTCCAGTGGAGCCATTTGATAGACATGAAATTGGGGAGGTTCTTTATCTTGTCAGTTTTCTCATCTGCAAATGAGGCTTATTTTGCTTACTTCACAGCATCATAAATAAAGTTTTAAGATATAACACTATGACCACTATACAACCAGTACATTTTCAGTGAATGTTAACCATGACCATTGTTGCTGCTCTTGTGTCTTAGAGTCAGTGTCAAAACTGTGTAGTCAGGATTGGTTTATGATTGTAGCCTACTGGTCTCTTCCTAGAGGAAAGAGGATTAAGGTCCCATAGGTTCTCCTCTGACCTGCATGTGGTATTTTATTTGCGTAATAGTTTGCTGTAAAGGCTTAGAGAATTCCTTATGTTGTCTAAAATTGGTATATACAAAAGTTCTTTTCAGTCTTTTGGTCTTTCTCAGTGTCAACAAGTAGCACTTATAGGAAACAGGAACATGGAGAACGATGAAGGACCCTTTCTGGTGCTCACACCAAATTTACTGCAGCCTGTTTCTCGCCTGTGTTCATGCTGAATCTTAACTGCCCCGTTTCATCACTGTCTCTAATTGTGTTTGCTTTCTGCCTAACCCAAGTCCTATTTTTCTAATTAAAGCCTAAGTACATCTGTTTTTCAGATTGTGAAATTAGCTGTTTATGGCATGCTGCCCAAAAACCTGCACAGAAGGACGATGATGCAAAGGTTGCACCTTTTTCCAGATGAGGTAAGTCAATGCCATTGAGAACGGTGCTTTCCTAAGTGTTCAGCTGAGTGTTTTTTCTTGTTTTCAAATAATTGTCATACATTTATTTTTAATAATTGTATCTCTACTTCCAGCATATTTTTGTGTTTTAAATGAATATATACATATAAGCATGCATGCACACACACACGCACACACAGGTGGTGCCAATTACTCCTATGTTAAACCATAAAATAACATATCAAAAGGTCTTCAAGTTCTGTTTCTGTTTCAGTAGCAGCTTTCTTTTTGACAGGAACATTATCAGAGCCCTTGGTCAGATGAGGTCCTCATTGAGTAGTTCATCAGCTATAAAACAAACTGTTCATTTGTTTACTTCTATGCGATCAATAGTGGAACCTTCTATGAATCATGAATTAGTAACTAGTTGCTAATTATTGCTCATGATTTAACTTTAGAATTCTTGTAATTACTCAGAATTTATTCAACTAGAAAGAACTTGGAAAAAGTATTATTTATTATGATACACTGTTTCAAGTACTTAGCTTTTCTATTTAGTGTACTATAATGAAACACTGGAGTTTCTATAATAAAATAATTGGGAGTAGGCACTGGAGTCACTTATTTGGTTTTAATCTATGCCCTACTGCTTGCCGACTGCATGAACATGGGCCAGTTACTACTTTCTCCTTTGTGAAATGGGCATTATGACAGTAACTACCTTAAATGACCCTTTTAATGGTTAAGTGTGATGTATGTTCAGAGTGCCTAGCACAGGGATTGACATAATCAGTGCTAGTTAGTCTCATTATCATGGTTGTTATTTTCCTTATAATCCTACTGAAGGACTAATAGAAATTTACTCCAGAATACCAAATTAATAGCAGTTGTTCAAGCTATTTTGTTATGCTTAACTTTAACAACATGAATAATTGTTCATGCTGAGTAAATTACTCCTGCTTTTCCAAAGTGAGTGCTCCTGCTGTACATGAGTGGGCTGACTCACTCCACTGTTGGCTTTACCTCTGAGGTCACCTGTACAGGAGCAGTATCATTATCTAAGGGTAAGAAGACCTGCTGGAATCCTTAGAATTTATACTCCTTTTTCTGATTATTGAGAAATAATTTTTGAGTGTAGATACATGTGAGTGTGGGTGGGGCCAGAGTTTGACATCAGTTACTGTCTACTGCTATCTACCTTCTTTTCATGGGAGGTTCTCTCTTTATCTGGAGGTCATAGTTTCAGTGAGACTGGCTGGCCAGTAAGCCCCCAGGATCCACCTGTCTTTGCCATCCCCCCATTCCTTAAAAGTGGAATAAACAGATTTCTAAAAACCCACACAACACAATGTATGAAAGAAGAGCCCAGAAAAACACTTGACCCTCCATAGATTGTCTTCCTGAATTCAACCAACTACAGAGACAATATTGAGAAAAAAATATACCTATACTTAAGCATGTATGAACTTCCTATTTACATGTCATTTGCATTATATTCTATAATAAAAGTAATCTCTAGATGCTTTAAAGTATACAAGAGGACATGCTTAGATCATATGCAAACACTGGGCAATTGTATATTAGAGACCTGAGCAACTTTGGATCTTGATACCTAAGAAGTGTCCTGGAACTGTGCCTTCCCATGCCCCCCATGGATAATTAGAAAGGAGTGTATGAAAAGTAGCATTTTGTTTCTTGCAGAGGGTATCCTTAATGTATTTGAGATGTAATGTATCGAGAAAATGGACAGGACCACAGGTTACATTGTATGAAAAACAAAAATCTGTGGATTCATTGTGTTAGTCCAAAAAATATTTGAAATTTATTGTAATTTTCCTTGTGTTTTCTGGGGAAGGAAAAGCTCTTTAAAGTGTTGTTTAAAAAATATATAAAATGACATTCACCCTTCCATCCCCCCCGCCGTTCTATACTCCTAGTTTGGGACCTGCGCCATTCCTAGTCTTGGGGCCCCAGACACCTGGGGAACCAATACTGCTTCCTGATCCTTCTCACCCAGACCAACTCAGTGCCTTTCTTGGGCCCCAGGAGCACCGCTTCTGGTCCTGGCCCCACCCTCACCTCTCTCTGCTTCCCTGGGCCTGCACCACTGGCTAACTCTCCTAGCCTGCACTACTATCCTCAGACCTCTTGGGGTAAGTCTATAGCGCAGTCCTCCGCACTGGGACTCCCAAAGCCACATTCACCCTCCCATCCCCCCCCCCTCGCCGTTCTATACTCCTAGTTTGAGCCCTGCGCCAGGGGCCCCAGACACCTGGGGACCAATACTGCTTCCTGATCCTTCTCACCCAGAGCAACTCAGTCCCTTTCTTGGGCTCCAGGAGCACCGCTTCTGGTCCTGGCCCTGCCCTCATCTCCCTC